CAACTCTAGACACACTAAGCCACCTTACATTTTTTGAGGCAGGGTGTCGCTCTATAGTTCAGGCTGACCTTGAACTCATTTTGTAGCCCAGGCAGGAGGCAAACTCACAGCAATCCTCCTGCCTCAGCTTCCTGTATGCTGGGATTACAGTCATATGCAACTACGCCTCGCTACCACCTTGTCTTTAACAAAGGTGCCAAACACATTCACTGGAAGAAAAATAGCCTCTTTAATAAGTAGTGCTCTACACATGCCGAAGATTAAAACTGGATCTATATCTTTCACCATATACCAAGCTAAAACCAAAATGCTGGAAGATAGATTAGGTAAAACTCTTGAAGACATTGGTGTAGGCAAAGAGCAAAACCCAGAGTGCACAGGAACTATCACAAAGAATCAACAACTGGGATCTCACCCTATTGAAAAGCTTTTGTACAGCAAGAGAAACCACCAACAGAGTGAAGAGACAGCCCACAACATGGCAGAAAATGTTTGCCAGCTGTTATTCAGACAAGGATTACTACTGAAAACAAACAAAGAACTCAAAAAAAAATCAGTCCACTCAGATTTAAAGACCCAATCCAAACACTGGGTACCTGAGCTGAACACACACTTCTCAGATGAAAAAAATAAAATAGCAAATAAATATGGGAAAAAATGTTCAACATCACTGGCTATTGGAAAGATGCAAATTAAAATAGCACTGAGATTTCACCTCACCCCGGAAAGAATGGCTAGAATCAAGAAATTAACCCATAACAAATGCCAGAGGGGCTGTGGGGGAAAAGGAACCCTTCTCCACTGTTGGTAGGAGTGTAGACTGGTGCAACCACTGTGGAAATCAGTGTGGCAATTCCTCAAAAAACTAAAACTAGAGGTCCCATTCAACCCAGCTGAGTATCTTCCCAAAAGAATTGAAAACATCATACCACAGTGATATATGTGCACCCATGTTTATAGCAGCACAATTTGTAATAGCCAGATCTTGGAAACAACTAAATGCCCATCAACTTAGGAACGGATAAAAAAGATGTCATCTTTTTATACAAAGGAGTACTACTCAGCCATAAAGAAGGATAAACTGGACACTTTTATAGGTAAATGGATACAACTTGACACCATACTCATAAATGAGAGAAATAAGACAGTATGTGTAAACATCGTATTGTCTATTTTGAAATAGACATATTATAAACATCTTGTTGTCTATTTTGAAATAGACAAAGTGAAAGAAACAATGTATATGTAACATACATATACATACAGTTCACTGAAGAGAAAGATTTGTGCTGGTATTGTTTGGACACCTGAATGCAGATGTCCTGTGCTCCAGGTGAATGATTTGGGGATGACAGTGTGCAATGTAAGTACCATTGTTGCCCCCTGACTGACATGTTTTGAAATTTTTGTTTTCTTTTAGAAATAAAATGGACTTAATAAAAATGATGCTAAGAAAATTGGATACCACATGCAGAAGACTGACTCTAGACTCATCTGCCTCGCTATGTTCTAAACTAAAATCAAAATGGATCAGTGATCTCATTGTTAAGGCAAAAACATTTAATATTCTGGAAAAGTAACTTGGTAAAACTCTTGAAGACATAGGCATAGGCAAGGACTTTTTAAAACAGAACCCATGGCACAAGAAGTAATACCAAGAATTAGACAATGGGATCACATGAGATTAACAAGTTTCTGCTGCCTGGCAAGCGTGGTGTCCTGAGTTTGGTACCAAACATAAATAAATAAATAATGCTTCTGCACTGCCAACCAATAAATGAAAAGATATTCACTATCCCTGTCATTAGAGAAATGCAAATTAAGAGATACCATCTTACTCTAGAATGAATGGCTACCACCAAGAAATCAAATAATAACAAATGCTGGCAAGAACGTGGGGGAAAAAGGAATTTTTTACCATCACTGATGAGAAAGTAAGTTAGTGCAATTATTGAGTGCCAATATAGCCAGAGTTTTCTAGACAGTCCTCGTGCTTGTTCCATCTCTTGTTTCCTTGCCCAGGCCAACAAATCACATCTATTGCTTTTTGTTATTTTGTTGAGAGACTGGAAGAATGGAAGAAGACAGGAATAGAAATTTGTTACCATACCTGCCATGCGCTTACAAAGTCCATGTCTGCATGCTCAGCGCTGTTTGCGTGTCCTCCCAGAATCTTCTCAGCAGCACCGGCTCCACTCCACCTGCCTCCCTTCCCCTGCACGGTGGGCTGTGTACAAAGCTCTGTGCCTCTCTAAGAGGTAGGCAGGACCAAGTACTATCACTAGGTGGCACACACACACCAGCAGGAAGATGAGCTGTGGAAAAGATGAAGGGAAGAAAACTAAAAAAAACCTGGACCCATGCAACGAAGAGATCATCTGAAAAATGGGGTAGATTAAAATATGCATTGCGCTTCTGAAATCTTAAGAGACACTGACAAACCACCAGAGCTGTGAACCCAGTGAGCCCTTGGGCAGCTACTTCCGTCTGGAGGCCTCTGTAACTCATACCCACCCCTCAACATTTCTATCCAGGCCTAAAGTCATTTCTTCTTTTTCCTAGGCGTGCAGAGCCCCGGTTTTGCTCCAGTGTCTAATCTACACACTCAGCTGGATGGGCTGCCGTTCCCCTTGCCGTGATAGGGAGAGGAGAGTGGACAGGGTTAGGATCAGACCTAACTGCTGAGCGGTAGAAAGGCTGGGCATCTTTCAGGAAATGATTTCTTAGCTTTCTGAAAACAAACAATAAAACAGCAAAGGCTTTATTCCTTTTCCTGCCCACCTCTGGGCATATAACCCCTTTGGAGAAGGGGCAGTGTGACAGACGGCCACCCAGGCCCATGTGAAGCAGGGGAGGTTAGGGTTTCCCAAAGGACATTGTCATCAGAAGGAGAAATGCTTGACAGCCAGAAAGAGCACAGTCACACTGTCACTCTGCAGTCACACTGTGTGTCCCCACCCGGCAGGATTAAGAATACTGACTTTCTGTAGCGATGTGTTCAGCTGTCTGCTCACTGACATGCCCCCATCAGACTGGACCCCCTGGAACCATGATCATGCTACCATAGTGATTGTTTTTTCTTGGTATTGCTGGGGCTTAATCTCAGAGCCTTGCACCTGCTAGGAAAGCACTACAACCAAGTTACATTCTATTTACTTTTTATTTTAATACAGGGTCTCAAGTAACTCAATCTCCCAGGCTAGGCTCACTTTCAACCCTCCTGCTTCCGCCCCCCGAGCGGCTGGAATCACAAGTGTGTACCACCTCACCTAGCACCAGATCATGCCGCCTCCCTACTTGTAGTCAATGGCTACTTTACTGTTCCCTGCCTTCTTGCTTTTGGGTGTATTCTTCTCCCCATCTTGAAGGCTTTCATTCCAGCTGTATCTGTGTTAACAGATCCTCCTCTGTGCTTCTAAAACAGTGTTCATCTCTGCCTACTTATTGGTTTGTTCAAAGGTCATCACATTTATACTCTTCAGCTTCTCGAAGGTGAGGGTTTTGTCACAGTGATTTCACTCAGAGAACCCCAAGTCCTCCCCAAGAGAATCAGTGGCTTCCTTCTCTGTAAACCCCGCTCCACAGTAGTGCACATTACCTTAGTGTTTGTCTGCCTTGCCCCCAGAGGACACAGATTGTGTGTTGTTAGTGCCTGCCCTTAGCCTGATGTGCTGAGTTGCTCTGGCATGGCTGAAAATCACGGAGGGGAGGGGAAAGTCATATTATTAGAACTTTCAAGGATTGAGTTATAGCACAATTACAGAGATAATGATCTCCACATCTGCAGTCAGGTAACTTTTGAGACAAGACACAGTAGCACTTCATGTTAGCTAAAGTCTCTGGAGTGTTTTAATCATTACTGTGTATCGATAAATCTCATCTGCTGAGATAAGCAAGGAATGGGTTCTATAATTTATTGTTCATTGGAGGAGAAGATAAGGTTTTTAATTAAATAGTGCACCTTAAATTTCCCAGTGAACATGGACAGCAACCTAGACTAGAAGGAAATGAGATTTGTTCATTTTCAAGTCCAGCACTTTACCAGATTTCACTGATAAAGCTGAAGCTTTCAGACAAATGAAGCTTAGAAAATCATCTATTGCCAACCTAGGGAGGTTTTTGAACCTTTTCTGGTTACATAGATCACTGCTGGGAACTACTGTCCTCTTTTGTTAGATGATGAAATGATGCTTGCAACAGCCATTAGTTAAGGTGGGTTTTTGTTGGTGTTTCTGTTTTTTTCTTCTATACTGGAAACTGAAGCTAGGGCCCTCACATGAACTATATTCTTCAGTCCTTTGTATTTAAATTTGTTTATTTACGTTTTTTGAGACAGGGTCTCACTTTGTAGTTCAGGCTGGCCTCAAACTCATGGCGATCCTCCTGCCCAGCCTCCCAAGTGCAGAGCTAACAGATAAGCACTACATGCCTATAGATTTATTTTTTGAGGCAAGGTCTCACTACATCACCATGTGACCCAGGCTGGGCTAAAACTTGTGATTGCCTCAGTCTCTCAAGAGTGCTGAGATTAAAGCATGCACCACCTCCTCTACCTTCTAGTTATAAGGTTTCTGAGCACAGATTCCTACCCTACTCACTTTCATAGTGCAGGTCCTGTTAAATGTGCTGGGTGCGATTATATCCTAATACCAGTGCCAGGGTCTTAGAACTTTCTGGACTTCTAAGAATTATATTTCAGCATATGTGAGGAAAGAAGTCATATTCTCAACTAATGGTTTTCTAGAAAGTTAATTTTTCTTGATTTTTTTTCTCACTCAGTTATCCATTAATAATAAAGTCTTAGTTGCGAGTTTGAGACCAGCCTGGGCTACAAAATGAGTTCAAGGCCAGCCTGAACTGCATAGCAAGACCCCGTCTCAAAAAAAAAAAGACAAATAATAATAATAATAAAGTCTTAGATTAAATCTGCCATGTTTTTGTTATTGTTTTGAGATAGTCTACATAGTCTAGGAAAGCCTCAAATTTTTTTTTTTTCCTAGAAGTCACCAACAGGGAGAAAGCCTCAAATTTATACTCCTCCTGCCTCAGCTTCTCAACTGAGAACTGAACTACAGGTGAGTGCAATCACACCCAGTTTTAGTCCACCACATCTAATTAGAAGTATTCTGTCAAGTTGTCCAGCAGAATTTCTTTTTTCCTTCTTTGGGGATTTTTTGGTTTTGTTTTTTGTTTTTTCCTTGAAATAGTGTCTTAATATGTTGCCCAGGCTAGTCTTAAACTCACGAGTTCAAGCAGTTCTCCTGACTCAGCCTCTCTGGTAGCTGGGACTATAATTTCTACAACCGGCTAATCACTTTCTCTCCCTGTCCTGGGAGTTGAAATCATGTCCTCATCCATAGAGGTAAGTGTGCTACTTCTGAGTTACATCTCCAGGTGCGCTCTCTCTCTCTCTCTCTCTCTCTCTCTCTCTCTCTCTCTCTCTCTCACATCCTGTACAGCATATATCTTGCTTCTTTTTCCTCCATCCCCTCCTTCAGCCCCTCTTTCCCCCCTTATTTACAAAAGCTTTGTTTCCATTCTGTGCTTTTTTTCTTGTCCCTTCTTTCCTTTCCCCCACTCCCTCCCTTGTTCCCCTTCTCATTAGAACATTTTCTTCTCATTTCCCAATATCTATGATACATTTTGGTCCTTATTTACACTTTGTTTCTCACACCAGAGAAACCATGTGGTATTCACACGTGTGTGTCTGATTTATTTCACTTAAGATTTTTTTATTTTTATTTTTTAATACCGGGGATTGAACTCACAACTGTGCACTTGCAAGGCAGGCGCTTACGCCACTGAGCTAACTCCCCAGCCCCATTTCACTTAAGATTATGGTCTCAAGGTGCCTCCATTTAGCTACAGATGTCTCAGACTTGTAATTCCTTTGAGACAGTGTCTTGCTGTGTTGCCCAGCCTGGCCCCAAGTTTGTGATCCTCTTACTGCAGTCTCCTGAACAGCTAGGATCATAAGTGTGTGCTATCACATCCACCAAATTACCTAATTAAATTGCAAAGAACTCTTAAGTCTCTCTCTCTAAAATAGTTTCTTGTTTCAAACCACCTGGCACAACTAGGGCTTAGTGGTTAGCAGAATTAATGGATTATGAATTTTTTTCTTAAAAAATGAAATAGAATAAAACATTCAAATGTGTATGAGATGACTATTTCATGAAACTTCTATATACCGACTGCAGTAACATGCATTCCCTTGTCCTGGACTGTGGTCAGAAAGTTTGAAAAGCTGGGTGTGGAGGCTCACTGCTGTCATTTCAGCACTCTGGGAAGCTGAGGCAGGTGGATGGCAAGTTTGACTCCTCTCTGGGCAACTCAGTAAAACCCAGTTTCAAAACAAAAACTAAAAGGCTGGGGATGTAGCTCACTGTGAAAACCTTGGGTTCAATTCCCAGTACTTAAAAAACAAAGCCCTGCAGTATTTCCCCACCTCAAAAATGTAAATTTTTTTCTAGAATGCAACAATCTGTCACAAAACCAAGCATGTTTCAGGTTTGTGTCAACATTCTTGACATGATATCCATTTGAGATCAAACTGACTCTTCAGCAAATGGTTGGAATAACTATAAACCTAAAAATCACTTGTGTGTAAAAAAGAACTTTGATTATATTGTAGACTTTCTTAAAAAGCAGATGAATGTGGGCTTCTGGATTACAAATTATGCTTAGCTTCCATCTGCAAGGCAGCCCTTTAAAATAGCATTCCTTAGTAGGTTTTTGTTTATCCTTTTCTTTGCCTCTCTGTTGACAGCTGAATAAATTTAAAATTTCTTCTAAGACTCACAAAGTCTTCTTTATATAAACTATTTAGAGGGTGATAGAGGAATGAGGAAATGTTTTTTAAAAACAAAATTGGGACAACTGATAGTCATTTCAGTGATCCTCTTTGCAGACCTTGACTTGTCTTACACAAGGACACATGCATGTGAGCTAACAGGTCCCCAAGGCAGTCAAGCTCAGCCGCTTTCCGCTGCGGCCCAATGAATTCAACACTCCTCAGTGTGGGAGGACCAAGAGCTTGGTCCCTGATACTAAAAAGGATCTGGTTCTACCACCAACTAGCGTGTGACTTTGGATAAATCACTTAAAACCTCTCCACCTAGGGCCGGGTATTTAGCTCAGCGGCATAAGTACCTGCTTGGCAAATGTGAGGTCACGAGTTCAATCCCTGGTAAGCCTCTCCACCTGACCTGGCATCCATGACATGGGAATAAAAAGATACCTAGCTCCTTCCAAAGTACTGCTGTGTTTAAAGATTAGTGCTTTTACTATGCCAGGCATGATATCAGTTATCTATATAACCCATCAAAACTGCTATGAAGTAAAGCTGGATGCAGTGGCACATATTTGTAACCTTCTACGGGAGGATCACAAGTTTGAGGCCAGCCTGGGCAATCAGTGAAATCCTGTGTCAAAGTGAAAAAACGAGGTTACCCGGGTGTGGTGGTTCACGCCTGTAATCCCAGCACTCAGGAGGCTGAGGCAGGAGAACCACTGCGAGTTCAGACCAGCCTGGGCTACAAAGCAAGCTCAAGGCCAGCCTGAACTGCACAGCAAGACCCCATCTCAAAAAAAAAAAAAGGAATAGGGATGGCAGTCAGTTATGGTGCAAACTACAGTACTGTGAAAGAAGGAGGAAGGAAGGAAGGAGAGACAGACAGAGGGAGGGTACAGAGAGAGACAGACAGAAAGAAAGGAGCCTTTATGAAGTAAAAGCCTATGTATCTGATGTGACTTGTGACTAAATTAATCTGATGGTTGACCTAAAGTTAATTACATGGTAGAACTATGAAAAATAATGCACACTTTAGACACATTTACCTTAACTCAAAACACAAAAATATATAAGCATTCACTTTTGATGTAAGACCAAGTCTTTTTGCTTGAGGATGAGTCTATTGGTTGGAGTCTCATTTTTTTCTGCATAAATCCAACTCAGAATGTATCACTATTGATTCTAATTTTGGTTTCTGTGAAATGCACATGAGCTAAATACAAACAGGATATGACTGCTGAATCTCTCAAAGGCTTTTGTTACTTTTTAAGTCTCTGCTGTATCATCCACATGCAAACGAACAGTGATTATTTTTAACAGCTTGTCTTACTAGGTCATTCCAAACCAAGTTAGTCTTCATAGGGGCAATCTTCACTTTGTAACTCATATCTCATTAACTTATATAATTATTTAATTAAAATAACAAGTAAAAAATTCTGTTGTACCATCCCCTCCTAGAAACTGAGGTGCCATGAATATGACCCTTATGTGTACCTAAAATGTACCAATAAATTTAATAATAAAAAGAAACTGAGGTGCATAAACAATGTCAAGTGTTGGGTGTGGCCAGGTATGATGGTGCATGCCTGTAACCCCAGCTCTAGGGAGGCCAAGGCAGGACTGCTGAGTTCAAGGCAAACCTGGGCCAGACACAGGAAGAGCCTGCTGGGGAGGCAAGTGCGAGGGAATTAAAGGGACAGCTACGAGGACTGACTTGGGGTGAGGCAGCAGTGGTAACACACCACAAGGACCCACAAGGTCCCTTGTCAGCCAGAAAGTGTGGGAAAACGGGTTACTGTCCTTCCACGCAGTGTTCCTGCTACCCCGACCAGTTTGAAACTACAAGAGGCTGTTCTGGTGTATTCTGTGCAGCTGTCTTCCCACCCATTATTGGGCTGAGGACTGGGATTATACCATAAAAGTGAGTAGGGAGTGGCTGGTGTCCATCTCTGAGTACACTGAACATATTTCCAGTGACTAACCTAGAAACCCATTAAAACACTATATAAAGTACAATTAAAAAGGAATCTCTGAAAGTTAAACCTAAAAACCAAAGAAATCCCTGGGTATGGTAGTGCACACTTACAACCCCGGCTCTTGAGAAATTGAAACAGGAGGATCTCTGAGTTCCCAGCCAGCCTGCGCTACATACTGAGTTCAAGGTCTGGGGTATATAGAGTTTAAGGCCACCCCGAAAACAAAACAAAAAATAAAATAAAAATAAACCGAACTGCAAATTTTGCAAAAAGGGACTAGCCAACAGGTTGTTATGGCTCCTGCCCTAAAGCTTCCTGCAGTCACAGGTGGGGCTTTCTGGAGGTGGCTGCACAAGTTGATGCTGGGATCAATGGTATGTGCCTACTAAATCAATCTACTGACTGGCTTGGCTTAGTTCTGGTGTGGATTGCGGGAAGGCTCACGCTGCTGTGAGTGCTACCACCCTAAGAGCAGGCAGCCTGGCCGTAGGGAACAGAAAGGGGGTTACTGGGGCTGCTTGTTCTCTGCTGCCTTCCTGCTTTCTGCCCACTGTCAACACTTTCTCCTCTGCCATGCCCCTCTGCAAGGTGACCCTGCCTTGGAGCCAGATGATGATGAACTAAAACCTTCCCTCCTTTAACTTCAAGCGTTGGGTATTTTGTCTCAGCAACAAGAAAAGTAACTAAATGTGGGCACATCATCTGCAAGATCTGACCTGAGAGCTGGACATGATGGCACAGGGCTGTAATACCAGCTACTCAGGACACTGAGGTAGAAAGACAATAAATTCAAGCCCTGCTCGGGCAACTTAATGAAACCTTGTCTCAAAATGAAAAGCAAAAAGGCCTGGACATGTAGCTCAGTGGTAAAGTGCTTGCCTAGTAGGCATGAGGCCCTGGGTTCAACCCCCAGTACCATGAAACAAACCATCACAACACTGAGTGGATCCCATACAGCAGCATCTGGGCTGGCTGGGAATACGTGAGATGCAGGTTCTCAGGCGCCAGAGCAGACCTACAGATCAGAGACTCTGGGTGAGGCCTCACAGTAGGTGCCACTCTCCAGGGCACCTTGATGTAAAAGTGAAAGCCACTACAGTAGATGTGGAGGTGGCAGAAGCACAACCATTCCCTGTAACATGGGTGAATCAACTGGCTTTTGCTGTCCTAAAGTAACTGTCAAACACTTTGATATCGATAGGCAAATTATGATATCAATGAATTACTATTGTCAATTTTTGCAGGTATAACAATGGTATTTAGTTTTGGTTTGTTTAATTATATCCTTTTTTTTTTTTTTTTTTTTTTTTTGGCTTTTTCCATTTTATTGGTACCGGGGATTGAACTCACGCCTGCCTTGCAAGCGCTTATGCCGCTGAGCTAAATCCCCATCCCCTAATTATATATAGTTAAAATTTCTGAACTATTTATAGATAAAATTATATGATGCTTGGAATTTGCTTTACAGTTTAAAAAAGGATAAGTTGGGCATGGTAGTGCGTGCCTATAATCCCATGCACTCTGGGAGGCTGAGTCAGGAGGGTTGAAAGTCTGAGCCTAGCCAGATAATTTAGCAACTTTAGTTAGACCCAGTCTTGATATAAAAAATTTTAAAAGCTGGGATATATCCTAGTGGTAAGGCCACAGTATCAATCTCCAGTATCACTAACCAAACAAATAGAAAGTTAGAAAGCAACAGAAGTACAGATGATGCAATATTGAACATGACTTAAAAATCCAGAAGCTGGTAAGCTGGGGGTTTAGCTCAGTGGCATAAGACTGACTGGCAAGTGCAAGGTCAAGAGTTTGATCCCCAGTACCATTAAAAAAAAATTTCCAGAAACTGGATGATTTACACTATGTGTTATCCTAACCTATCCTATTCTCTTTCCTTTCTCCTCTCCCCTGTCCCCTGCCCCCTGTCCTCTCTTCTCTCTCTCTGACTAGAATTCAGGGCTTTGGGCATCCTAGGCAACCACTCTACCACTAAGCTGTGCCCCAACCCTTAGATATTTGTTTTAACTTTAGTGTATTTTGGGGATTTTTCTCTTTCCAAAAAAAGTATTAAAAACCCAAAACAAAAATAAATTAAAAGGTTGTGAGTTAAGTGGAATTAATTACAAAAAGGGAAAAAGTATATAATAATTTTATTTCAAGCACAGTATTGAGATACACAAAGTAAGTGTGAATTTTTTTTTTTTCAAAAAGCCTACAGTAAACTTGGCATGGTGGTACATACCTGTCATCCCAGGACTTGGGAAGCTGAAGCAAGAGGATCACAAATTTGAGGTCTGCCTGAACTACACAGCACAGCTCTGTCACAAAAGATCAAGGCATGAAAACCTTCAATATACTAACATGGAACAAAATGCTTTTTAAAACTATTTTTCTCTGGTATTGAGCCCTGGAAGTGCTGAACTACATCCCTTTTTGAGACAGGGTTTTGGTAAGGTACCCAGGGTAGCCTTGAACTAAGTAGCTGGGACTGCAGGCATGTCATGGTGACTGGTAGCATTTGTGGCAGATATAGGGGGCCTGGCTGTCAAATCTCTGAGTGGCTCTTGACAATTCTCTGATGCTGTTTTAACTCCCTGATCCCTCTGAAATGGATGACTTTCCTGGGAAACGAGGGGACCACGGTCCTGTCAAAGGCGTCTGAGTATCTACACACATTAGCTGCCAGGTTTTTTGTTGTTTTTTGAGATATGATCTTGGTATGTAGTTTAAGCTGGTCTTAAACTTGTGGTGATCCCCTGCTTTAGCCTCCCAAGTGCTGGGATTCCCAGCCTGCAGTGTGCACAGCTTCCAATTTTCAAATTAGCCTAGCTTCTGAAATCTAATCTGTTAACAAATTCAGGTTTACTTGCATTTAATCTGCATTTTTAAGTTTACTACCTTAGCAAATTATGAGTGCAACCTAAGCAGCCTTACAGAGACGCTAACAATGGCTGGAGGTTTTTCTTTCCAGCAGTGCACCACCTCCTGTTACCTAGGAGAGTAGTCAGACAGCTGTAGGGAGGCCTCTGGCCTGAAATGTCCTCTGCACAGTACATCATCATCTAGAGCGCCACCAAACGACTGGTCTTGAGACTTTTTCAGGCGAGCTGTTTAAGAAGACTGCCTGAGGGGCTGGGGATTTAGCTCAGTGGCATAAGTGCCTGCCTTGCAAGCAGGCAGTTGTGAGTTCGATGCCCGGTACCGATAAAAACGAAAAAAGACCCCCCAAAAAAGAGAAAACTGCCTGAGTCTGCAGTGGGCCCTCGGATCTCCTTGAATGGCATCCTGTGAATGCCAGCTTTATTCCTCTGTAATGTGCCCTTGTGGTAGTGGTTTTAAGAATACAGAAAGCAGATGGCATTTCTGCTTTTTCCTCTCCCTTTACCGCCTCCCTTTTCCTCTTTTTACCATGGAAATATAACTTCTACACAGAAGCCTGATCCATTGGAAACTTTCAGAAGACTCCAGCTTCAAAGCCTGGGGGTGCAGGTGGTAGAGTGGACTATGAGCTCACTTTACAAAGATGGATGCAGAGTTCCGGAGAACATGGCGGGTAGATAACAGCAGCTATAGAGGCTCTCTGAGATAGCCAGCTTAGAATCCAGGAATGGTGCAGTGTGAGGAGTCCTAAGCAAGGGGAGATATACCCTGCCGACCTAGGAACGAACTAAGCTGAGAGAAACCAACTGGAAATGCAATCCGGGTGCTACAACCGGAACAGATAAAATCTCAGTGCTGAAGCTGGAACCTGCGCCTCTGGAAGCTGCGATTTGAATTTCCTGCTGCCGCAGCTGCGACTGAATCAGCACAGCAGGGAGAGAGATGCGCGAAAGCTCTGAGAGTGGGAATCAGCGAACAGAGTTGAGAGAGGGACTGGCAGGGAGCCCTGCATCAACCTGTGGTGAGTCACAGGAACGGGGACCCTTCCATAGACTAGGAGGCTCCAATGTCCCAGAGGACATTCTGGGACCTGGCAGACTAGATGGAACGGGGCACTGCAGTGACTTTAGTCACATATTCCCCTCTCAAGTGGGATTGGTGGGGAGCGCTCAGCCTAGGTGACGCTGCAGACGAAGACCCAGTAGGTGAGCCCAAACTAGGTCTCAGCACTTGGCGGTGCACCCTAGCAGTGAAGCCTTCAGTAGGTTGACCTGGTGGGGCAGGCCCAGTAGAGGCTGCCCAGGTCTGTGTCTCCCTAGTACATTGCAGTGGGCGAGAACAACTAGCCAGCGCAATTCAAACAAACTGTAACAGACAAAGAGAAAAAAAACTGGGCCTCCTATATTCACTTGTATGGAAGGAATAAAAAGTATGGGAAGAGGAAGCAACCAGAAAGGGTCCTCGGCCCCCAATCCTGAGAACACTGATCCAGGAAAGGTAAATGCAAAGGAGAATGAGGACAGAAAACATGCAATATCAGACACGGCACCAATAGACATAAAGCGATATCTCCGGAGCCTCATAGATGAGTTCAAAAGTGAAGTATTTAACAAAATAAAGCAAGATATAAGTAGAATAGTTAGAGAAATGCTAAGCACCACCCAACAAAAAACAGATGGTGGAATGGAAGAACAGAAAAAAAGGGGAGAATTGTTTAATGGAGAAAATAGAGAAAACATAGAATATGTGAAGCAGGTTCAAAGAGATTACCAGGAAACTAAAAACTCTATTGAAAGCTGGCATAACAGCTTGAAAGAAACTAAGGATAGATTATCTGACCTGGAGGACAGATTTGTAATTGGGAGCATGAAATGAAAAACTTCTTAAAAATAACAAGGAAACAAACAGCAATAATACAGACGCTAGAAGATGATAAGAGGATCTATAACTTAAGAATTAAGAATGTAAAAGAAGTAAGGACACAAACAAATTAACTACAAAGGCTATTCACAGAAATAATCCAGGAGAATTTCCCTAATTTAGCAAAAGGTAAAGATACTCAGTTGTATGAAGCATATAGGACCCCAGCCACCTACAACCCAAACAGAGCTACACCCAGGCATATAATAATCAAAATTCCAGAAATCCAATATAAGAACAGAATATTAAAAGCTGTCAGAGACAAGAAGCAGATCACTTACAAGGGAACACCCATCAGAATTACAGCAGACTTCTCGGCACAAACCATCAAATCACAAAGAGTGTGGAGGGGAAATAATTCAAGCTTCGAAAGATAATAACCTCCAGCCAAGATTGATATATCCTGCACAACTGTCCCTAGAAATTGATGGAAAAACAAGGTGCTTCTAGGATAAAGAGGAACTAGGGGAATTTGCAACCAACAATTCAACTCTACAGAGAATACTGTAGGACATTCTAGAAAAAGAAAAATACCAAGATTCCAGAAACAGTGGCAGAGAGGCCACAATGAATGGAGCAGAAAGCGAAATGAAGAAGACAAACTGACAAGTAATGACAGAAAAAGAACTCAACAGAAATGAGGCAGAGAAGTTTGGATAGTAGGAACAGCTATTTTGGAGAAAACAAAACATCATAATAGCTAGTGCTGATTAATATCATTTTGTTTTGAACTCCCATCAAGCTTTTGTTCTTCTGTCTCCATCGGTCTTAACATGTTGTATCTAATTGGATTTTATTATACATGATAATATAAACAAAACTTTTATAGACAAGGAGATTATACAGAAACCATTGTTCATTTTCTGTTAGTTGATTCTAAATACCCTGTAATACTGTCATTCTCTTGAATGGTTTTACATTGTCTTGATATGTTTGATGCTACAGTATATGAATCTATACTCAAAGATTTCAAGGAAAGAGACACTATGGCAACTATTTTTATGTCGGGATATCTTGTGGTGAAACACTGTTTTGCTTAAATGGTTATGTTTTGACCTGTGCTGTTTTGTTGTTGCTTTTATCTCAATCTCCTTTTTTATTACTTTTTTATTATCTTTTTAATTAAGGGAAAATAAAAAATAGCAGTAACCCCCATAGTAACCCACTTTCATTTCCTATTAACTTGATTTGAAACCCTGTATTGCTCTCACCATCTTGTTTTGACTGATTTTCCTCTATTCTGTTTTGCTTGATAGTACCAAGTTCGAGAGCATAGGCAACAACTCTGAAGATAGTAAGATTCATTATGACGCCCATTCTGATTTGACTATTATCTTCTTTTGAAGTCCTATAATGTCTCCATGTTTTGGTTTTATTGGTTTTGTTCTTTACTATTTTGTTCAATTTTATTATAACTGATGATATAGGCAATTCTTTTTAAGATAGCAAGAGGCATTATGGTAACCATTGTTGATCACCTTGTATTTTTTTTTTATTCCCCACCCTTGTATTTTGTTTTTACAGTATGTATTATGTCCGTCCTTTTGATTTGACTTTGTTTTGTTATGTCACACTTGGTTTTATTCTCTTCAAAAAAAGTAATAAGAACTGTGGGAGTACTAAGACCCAAAATGTGTAATTGTCATTGTACAGGAGAGGAAAAGAAAGTGCTCTAACGGATATAACTGCATGTATATTTAAGTGTGTACGACAGATAACCTTATTACTGAGTTTTGTTGGATCATTGAACAGAACTGTTTGCAGTCTCACTGTTTGAATATCCACTTTATATGCTTTAATTTTGTAACTTGAACAACTATTTCTAAGATGACAATATGTAATGTTGACTAGTGATTTCCTACTGTTTATTTTTTCTGAAATTCTGTATAACTTGTACCCTTTTTCTGTTTTTTTTTTTTTTCTTTTTCTCATTAAAAAAAAAAAAGAAAGAAAGAAACAAAGATGGATGCAGAACTCTAAGGGTGGGCCCTGTTCTTTTTCTGCTGTATTTTAGATTCCCATGGTCATTGTCATTGTCATGAGCAGCATTTACTCATTATTGGTCTTTTAGTGACATGAAGGAAAGATCATTAAGAAGACACAAGTCATCATCAGCTATTATCAGTCATCCTTCTGATAAAAGTAACCTCAAAATAGATTTTTTTTCCTTCTTTGGCATAAAGTCCAGGCTGGCCTCAAACTTGATGTACTGTCCCAGCTGGAGTCAAATATGTGATCCTCTTGCCTCGGTCTCCCGAGGGCCGAGATTATAGGTATAAATGAGCTACCACACCTTCAACTCCTCCTACATCTTCGCCTGTGTTGGCTGCTTAAAAAGAAAAAATGCAACTTAAGTGAGCTCCATCTAGCTATGAGATAAGGGAAGAGGACAGGAAGCAAAACACTGCGTACCTATAATGTAAGAGATTAGGAGCCATAACCACAGGGCCTCACATGCTGTGGTCAAATGCTGATCGTACTGCCCCCTAGCTGCTACACTAAGCAAGTGACATTAGCTCTCCCGCCTCATATTGCTCACCTGTGAAATGAGGGTAAAATTGGAAACTGCCTTATAAGGTTGCCTTAGGATATTCCATAAATAATCCATAAAATGGTTGAATTTATCCATTGGGTATTTTATCAATTCCTGTGGTAACCTTAGATAAGTTCCTTGCATCCTATACTTCCCCTTTAGGAGGGTCTTCTGTCCCTTAAATGTGTCACCTCTAATTCTGTATGTGTGAAAATGTCTTCACTTGCCCTGAGTCTCACTGTTTGGCTGTGCCCAGTCTAAGATGCTGTTTTGCCCTCGGCACTCTGAAGATACCGCCCACACTTCTGGACTCCATGGCTGCTGCCACTGGCTCACCAGCTATGACTTCAGCTGTGCATGGTGGCACACTCCTGTAATGCCAGCAGTTGGGAGACTGAGGTACAAGGACTGCTATGAGTTCAAGGCCAGTCGGGCTACAAATTAAATTCACGGCCAACTTAAACTGCATAATGAGACCCTGCCTGCAAAACGCCAGTTATGACTTTGTGGATGATGTGTTCTTTTTTTCCTCACTGACATAATTCTCGTATCAAAGGAGACTAGTGGTGAATGTATATATTTACCTAGAGCTCCTATCTAGAGACCGTGCTTACAGGACAGGTGTAGGAGCACCCTCTGATGAATCCAGCAGACAGTGACAGATTAGGCAAGGTGAAGAAACCTGCTCAGGAGCCTCATTTTTTCCTCCCTTTGGAGACAGGGTCTCCAGGGTCCAGACTGGCCTTGAGTTAATTGTGTAGCCCAGGCTGGCCTCAAAGTCCTGGCAATCCACCTGCCTCCGCCTCTTGAGTGCTGGAATTACAGTATGCACCACCACACCTGGGAGCAGCCTCTTTTTTTTTTTTTTTTTTGGTACAGGGAATCAAATCTAGGACCTCAAGCTTACGAGGCAGGTACTGTGCCACTGGGCTATATCCCCCAGCTGAGAGCCTCATTTTTAAACTCCTATGGATCATCACTTTCTTTTCCAGTCTTGCTTTCTAGTTCCTACAGTAGGGCAAGTCCATATTCTGAGCATATGAGGCAAATATGATAAAATAGTGCTTGAAAAGCTTTTAACTCCTATGCATCAATGCTTATCCTTATGTTACTAAAAACTCATCTAAAAGTACGCAAAACAAAATACATCTCTCCTTATAGACAAAATGGCTAAAAATTTGGCTTCTTTATTGATGTTAAGTGACTTGGCTTTAAAAACTCCACAAACAGTTCCAATTAAGCTTAGTTACACAGACTGAATTTTTCTCCTGGCTCTCCAGAGATCACAGAGTCCGCTTCCACAGCAGCTGGCAAATACAACCTTGAGAGTCGCTCCCAGAGAAAATACTTACAGAAGCAAAGCAAGAAAGATATTTGGTTTTCATTACATAAAAATCACCTGAACTTAACTAATCAGTGTACTAATTTTAAAAAAATTACCTGTGACCAAAAGCACTATTCTGTTAGTTAGGCACCTAATCTAAAAAGTTGAAAAACAATTCAAAACAAGATGGTGGCCCTATAGCTCCTGCTATAAAACAGTTGCCAGTCTGACATGAGTGTCTAAAAAGAATAACAGGAATTAATGGGTTCTGCTTAACTTCAAGAGAACTTTCCAGAAGGAGGTGGAGGGCCAAGAAATCCACCTGCCTGCTTGGTGGCAGCTCGTGAAGGGGCAAGGCCAAGAATCTTCTGGATATTCTGTGAAGAAAACAGTAAAAATTGAGTTTGAATATGATCTATAGAGGTATTTTTATATAGCTCTTAGGCAAGGAGAATGCATGCAAATTAAAAAACACTGTTATAATCTACAGTAAGACTGTCACTGTGTTATTTTTAAAAAGGTCTATGGTGGGATGAAGATCACAGGAGAGCACAAGTCTTCTTTACCTGATGGGCCTTAACCAAAGCTTTTTTTGTTTTGTTTTTATTTTTGAACAAGGTCTCACTTTGTAATACAGGCGACTTGAACTCATAACCTAAAGGCTGGGATTACAGGCATGTGCCACCAAATTCAGCTACTTTTTATGTCTGTGATGCTGGAGTTGAACCCAGGACCTTGCACATGCTAGACAAGTGCTCCAAACCTAGCTGTACTCCCAGCCTCCAGATAATCTTTCACTTTTATTGCAAAGTATATAAAGTATATTCATAGTTATTTCTTGTTAGTAGGGCCTTTTCTTTGATTACACATCTGCATAGATTTAGGCATTATTGTACTGTATATAATTTTGTTTCAATTCATTTAAAGTGGTGAAAGACTCAAAAGACTTGTAAAGCAATAGAAGTTCAGGATTTCATAGATGTTTTGTTTTCTTTTTGAAACAGGGACTTACTGTGTAGTTTAGGCTGGCGTTGAACTCGCTATGTAGCCTCCAACTCATGACAATCCTCTTGCCTTATCCACCCGAGTGCTGAGATTGCTACCACATCTTGCCTGAAAATTTTCTTTCTCTCTCTCTCTCTCTTTCATTCTTTCTTTCAAGACAGAGTTTTGCTATACAGTTCAGGCTGCCCTTGAACTCACGCTGACCCTCCTGCCTTAGCCTCTGGAGTGCTGGGTTTCCAGGGATGTACCACCATGCACAGCTTTTCATAGACAGATTTTTAACACCCTTCCTCACACACTATTTCTTTACCTCATCTGTATGCCCTCTCCTTCACTGGGATTGAACCCCAGGGTCATCACACTGAGCTACATCCCCAGCCTGCTTCTGTTTTAATCTGAGACAAGGTCTTGATTCGTCACTAAATCATTCAGCCTGGGCTCGATCTTTTGACCACACCTGGCTCTACCCAAATTATTATCTAATCTGAATACATGTATTTTTAGAAAGTCGTCTTTCAGTTAAATTAGTTTTCCAAAACTTAGTTCTCACAGAAACAATTTTTATAATGTTATTTCACTGGTTAATATAACATTTAATTAAATCATATAAATACAATAACAAGAAAACTGTATAAATAGGTTTTGGATAAACACAACTGACTTTCGGAAGGCAATGACTCAACCAGTAGGAGCAGACAGCGTAGGTGTACTAACGAGCTCTCGTGACCGGACAGCGGGTCCACTGGAGGCACTGTAAAGCGGCCATGGGGGCTGCCAGTGTGCAAAGGTTAAGTACAGGCCAGATGTTAAAAGTTTATACCACAGTTCAGAAGAAAAACCTCAAGAGATCTTCTGATTACTCTTGTTCAAATCTTTTGCTTTATATTTATGAAAACTAAAGTTGAAAAGATGTGACTTGTCCAAATTCACAAAGCTAAAGGAAGACTGGAAGTAGAACTTAATCGACCATGTGTGGATCCTTCATCTAGTGGGTCTTCTTCCCTAGTACCCTCCACACTGAAGTTCTAGCCTGCAGGACACACCGCATCCTATGATAACAAAGTTCACACGCACTGAGCTACTCACCCAACAGTTACTAAGTGCTCGAGCACGGTGGCACATGCCCGTTATCCCAGCTCCCTGGGAGGCCAAGGCAGGAGGACCAAAAACAAAATACAAATTCAAGCTAAACAAGAAGGGCTGAAGATATAGTTCAATGTGCTGTCCCTGGGTTGCACCTCCAGTACAATAAAAAAAAAAGTTATTGAGGGCTAGGGATTTAGCTCAGCAGCGTAAGTGCCTGCCTTGCAGCACAGAATCATGAGTTCAGTCCCCAGTACACACACACACACACACACACACACACACGAAGTTATTGAGTACTGATTGGTTATAAGACATTTTGAGAAAATCCTTTTTTGGAAGTGCAGTATATGCTCCCTCTGTCCTTTGTCATGAGAAATGATGACTGCTATAGACAAGAGTATATGGATTTCTGAGTTAATATAATGGGATGTTCAAATATAAACAATTTGCTAACAACTCATTTAAATTTTATTTACAATGAAATAGTTCAACACATGTATTCTATAGTATTACTGCTTGTTCTTCAAGGAGAAATCTGACAATAGGTTAAGAAAAAACTCATGTGCTGGGGATCCAGCTCAATGGCGTAAGCACCTGCCTGGCAAGCGGGAGGTTGTGAATTTGATCCCCAGTACCCGCCCCAAATCAATCCAGATCTGTATTACTTTTTTTCTTCTTCTTTTTGACACAGGGTCTCACTATGCAGTTCAGGCTGGCCTTGAGCTCATTATGCAGTCCAGACTGGTCTCAAATTTGCAACCATCTTCCTGCCTGAGCCTCCTGAGTGCTGGGATTACAGGGTTGCACCACCATACCCAGCTTGTAATACTTTTATAATACAGCTTCGTGCCTACCTCTAATAATAAAATCAATAATCAAATCAAATAATATGATGCCCCCAATTTTCACTTTTTTTTACTTTAGTCGCCTACCTAAATATCTATAGTACATTTAGCACTATGCTGGACATTAGGGAAATGGCTCTAAGGATAAAATTTGAAGGAAGACATTACAGAGCACATCATGATAAACACACTCATCCAGTTAACAAATACAGTAACAAAGTCTAGACAAAATATACAATGCTCCTCGCTCAATTATTCTAGACAGGGCCAATTTAGTGAGTCCTGAACATTTTGGAGATGAGAAACTAGTTTAAATATCTCTGATTGCCTTTTAAAACACAGGCTTAAAGTAAGCGACTGGAAGCAAAACAGAGACATTCTGAAGGAACAGGACATGCAGGGGCAGGCCAGTGAGTGAAAGCCACTGCTCTCTACAGGGACAGCTTCAGCTGCCACAGAACCCCTAGCCGAGCTGAGCTGAGCTGAGCCTGCCAGCACAGCTGAGGCTCCGGGAAATCTGGGCAGGACATTTTGCTTTCCTTTTTGCTCTGGTCACAGACTTGGGAACTCTGAATTAAATGTGTCACTCTTATATTACTGGAGTATTTGTGTTTTAATATAAATGTTCTGCATTTACCGTACACAATCTCAACCTTTAATAAAATTCTAAACATTCTGTTTACATTCCCATAGGCTCACAAATGAAATACTGATTTTTTCCCCTTCTTCCCCTTCTTCTTTTCTTTTCTGGAATGTGTCTGAGAGTGTGTGTGTGTGTGTGTGTGTGTGTGTGTGTGTGTGTGTTTGAGACAGTACAGTCAGTCTCAAACTTGCAGCAATCCTCCTGCCCCAGCCTCCTGAGTGCTAGGAATTACAAGTGTAGGTCACCTACCCTTTTCTTAAAATAAAAATTTTCCTGTTAGTGAAATCATTTCCTCTAAAACACATGCAGGAACCAAGTGATGGAGTTTAGACATGGCTAGCCTAGGTAAAAAAGACTTTACTGTCTCTCCACAGAATAATAATACAGTTTTTGTGACAAAGAGTCTCACTACATAGTTCAGGCTGCCCTTAAACTCACTACACAACACAAGTTGGCCTTGAACTCCGAAGTAATCCTCCTGCTTCAGCCTCCCAAGTGCTGGGATTACAGGCATGCATCACCATGCCTAGCTCATCCTACATTTCTATGCATGTAAAAGTTTATAAATGGTTCTCAGGACTAGACCACAGTCCTTAGTTTCCCTGCTGTCAGAAGTTTCCGTAGAGGTTACAAGTCAGGAAGTGAACTAGCATAATTCAAACTACAGTTTTCCTCTATTAAACCGCCTCTCTGTAACAGATTTCTATTTTAGGAGTAAAAAAATCATGTAACAGCACTTTGAAAAATATTACAATTACAGTTATGGTGTGGTGTATGAATACACAACAAACAGAAATATTATATTAAATGAATAAACGTCTGTAACATATTCTTTCTATATGTAATAGAAATTCTGTATCATAACTGCACGAATACATATAAACCAGAACACAGAGAATGTACAACAATCACCAAGAATAAACTGTAAAGGGGCTGGGGCTGGGGCTCTGTGGTACAGCACCTGCCTGTGTGCGAGTCCCTGGGGTGAAACTCAGCCCCACAAAACAGGGAACAAAACCCTAATGCACACCATGGATTTGAGTAACAATAACGTGAGGACGTGTCAAGCATGCTCTTCAAGTGTAACCAACATACCACCGCTGCTGGGGGACACTGAGGACCAGCAGACAGGAAGGCAGGGACACACACAAGGAACCTCTCCAGTTACTATTTTGCTATGAACCTAACACTGACAAAATACATGTAAAGAATACAAGAAGGAAGGAGAAGGGGACAGAAAAAAGACTTAAGATATGTTATGTGCATGTAGGAACACTCCACGGTAAATGTGAACCAGCATGTACTGTAAACATAACACTACTAAAAAATTTTCTTTTACTAATAAAAATTTTAAGATTATTAAGAAAATATAGTCAATCAGTAGTTGTATTAATACTTAACTATACTCCTTTTCCTCCTGGCCTTTTCTAACTTTTTTTGAAATACTGCACTGCTCAACAGGATCATTAAGGGTTCACTAGCCCATGTGGTGGTGTACGCTTGCAATCCAGCTACTCAGGAGGCTGAGGCAGGGAGATACCAAGTTCAAGCCTAGCAATTTTGAGAGACCTTGTCTCAAAATAAAAAAGGGCTGAGAGTGTACCTTGGTGGTTAACAGTTACTGACTACTCACACTGTGTTCTAACCCTTTCTATATATACTATTTCATTCTCATTTAAATCTTCACAACAACTCAATGAAGTAGGTGTTAATACAATCCCTGCAAGAAGATAAGGAAAGATCCCAACTCCCGGCAGGAGTTCTGTACCACTAAGCACCTCCTCTGTAGCAGTTACTG